TAGATGTCTATTCATACCCTGCAGAAGCCTGGCAACATTCTGAACCTTCTCAAAATGTAAATACTGCATATTAAGCATAGGAAAGAAAATTAATGTGCTGCATTTGCAAATTTATTTCCAAGTCAGAAATGCAAAGGTGGGGGGGAATCTCATAGCAGAATTGATATTCTACATTTACAGGATATATTAAGAAGTTTGTAATGGCCTGAACACAAAAGAAAAACACTTTAGCAATGAATTAATTTGGTTTCCCTGACAATCGTAGCTTTTGAATTTATTCCCTTTTGATTGTAAATGTCTGGCCTCAGTATGACATTACCAGAGTTTATTGCATTTTGCAGGTGGCATTCATATGTTGTTATTTTACATGCAGTATATTGTGGGCAATGGGTTACAATTTTTTTTGTTAAAAATTTCCAGAACCACACAAGTACTTCTTAATTAGACTTGCAAATCAGTAATGCCTTTCTGTTTGGGGAGAAAAAAATACTTAAAACATTACAGGAATTTTTTGTCTCTTTTTCCTTAGTTAGTACTGGGGAAAGTTTGCAATAAAGTTTGCTATTTGAAACTTTGACATTTTTTAGTACGTTCTGATTTACATATGAAGTCATCCTTTGACAATTCCAAACAAATGTCTTTTTAAAGCAAACCAGTGTTTTGTATGTGTGCCTGTAGCTCCAAAAGGGTTTAACAGATTTATCTTGCTTGCTGCCATTCAGAACCGTGGAAAGTTGTCATCTCAATGACATTTTTAATATCTTGAATAATTTAGTAATTGACACCTTCATCATAGATTTCAGCAGTACAAACACTACCCACAAATCACCTGCACTTTCTCCAGAGAAAATAACCAACAAATAAAATAAATAGCAATCAACAAAAACAAATAATAAAAAATAACAACAAAGAGAAAAATAAATCAGAGTTAATACTATTAATAATGTTATCACATAAAGTAGAAAAAGCATGAAGTACCATTTTTCAGATAAAATCTTTATAGTTCTCAGACACAGTAAGATCTGAAAGCAGATTTTAATTCCTATAACTATGTTTTTAGACCTAAACTGACCCTTTACTTAGTTCCAGGAGGGCTCAAGATTCTTAACATTTATTTCCATGATAGAGGTCCATGTCATACTGAGTATATAAATTCTTAAAAGATTTCTAGTGATTGTATTTGGCTTGTAAGTAAAGATCTTGGATTTTTTTAAAGCTACATAATGGTTGAGGATGAAATTTTGTTCTTATGAGTATTAAATTATGCCAAAAAAGCCATTTACTTGATATTCTTTAAATACCATAGCATGATTCAACTAAAGCTCAGAATGTAAACCGTCTTAAATAACACTAATGAAATATACATGTAATGAACAATATAACTTAAGTTAATTTTCATGTAACAGATAACATCTGGGGGAAATGTATATTGGTAAGCTATATAAAACTAATTTTCTAGCGACCACATCTGTAGATGTTATTTATTGTACGTTCACTTAACAGTCGATTATTCAGTTTAGAAATCTATTCTCTTCTTTATTAGAGCTTTTAATGTACTCACCTTGGTTCAAATGGTCTGCTCATTATCTGAAAAAATATAAATGGCATTCACATGGAACAACATGATTGTTTTTATTATATCCATTTGTGTGCAAGCATTCAAAAATGGCAAGAGAAACACATTTATTGCTTTACATTCAAAGTAATATTTAGGGGGTATTTGAAAGTCAAGCAAAACCAATCATTTGGCCAAATGGATGTATGTGTATAATCAGAAACTCCTGAGTTTTAATCTCAGCATTAGGCCTCAGGCAAGTCACTTAAAGTCTTTCCCTTTGTTTTTTGATCTGAAGATTATGGGTGCTATTCTCTTATAGAAGAAAGGGGGTTGCTAAATCAGGGTACCAACTATGAGTGTTTTTTTAATAAACATACTTGATCCTTTTTCTGTTTTTATTTTTCCAGATTTAAGAGGTAACATATTAGACTTTTGAGGAAAAAAATATGAGACAATTACAATTCTACAGGAATGTATAAAAATAGTTATAAAACTAGCTTTATTTAATTTGCTTCAACTATTCATAGACTTGAGGAAATTATAATGTTCTTTCAGAAAATCTAACTTAATAAAGCTGACCATGTCTCTCTGTTTTAAATAGATTTTATTACAGAGCCAGTGATGTTGTAAAACATGAGGTTTTGTTAAAAAAAAATACAAAGGCCTAATTGTATTTTTTTAAAGAAAGTATTGCATCAGACGGTTTCATTTAAACATATTTGCTGGCTCTGAGCTCTCACTACAATTATTGATTCTAATTTTTCTTAAACATGTTTTTAAAAAAATGCTACTTAATGGGAAAAAAAAAATTCTGTGATGCTTCTGGGAACTATGTTTATTTCAAACTATCTATTTGACTGTATAGCTTATTATTATTAGTGAAATGACTTTATATTTACCCTCATCTGAAATTAGAATATTATTTCCCTTGCAGTATCTTACTAACACAGCCAAATGTAACTCTTCATGAAAAAGAAGGGTGTAACTATGGTTTGGTTCACTGATAGAATGCCAAACACCATGAAGAAAAGAAAAATGCTCAGCCCCAGCTTTGTGCACAAATTAAATCCAGTGACTAGTTGTATAAGCTATACTCATAAAGATCAAGGACAAGAAAAGCCCAACTCCCAGTCAGAGCTTCAGGTTCTTGGGATAAATGGGAGCTTCATTCCACAAGAGAAATAATGTGGACTTGAGGAGTTCCAAGTTTCCAAGTGTGTGCCCAGTACACAAACACACACACACACACTCACACACTCAGTGCCAAAGACCAGGAGAACTGGGGAAATGGCAAGTAGTTCAGATTAGCCTCATAAAGAAATCCAGACCACAGGGAGAGGTGTGAGGGATAAAATGAGAGGTTTGAGCACAGATATCTGCTTACATTTAAGTGTATATAATTTGATGGAAGACAGGGAACAGGTGGGCAGGTGGTAGGATCTGCTCCTAACAGTATGAAGAGGGAATCTATTGAGAATTTCCACCTAGAGGGGAGAGCAAATCAGCAGAAAGGACTAGCCCTTGTATGGAAAGCATAGCAGGAAAACAAAGATGGTGACAGCACAAATACAATTCGGCTCGATTGAAAGGACATCCTGCACCTCACAGGTTAGCTCGTGCTTACTTTCTCCGTGCCTGCAGTTAATCCAGTAACTTCCATTCAGTTCCTTTCTCTTTTCTCAGTGTCTCACCCACCACCACTCCCCCTAAGGTTCTATTTCTCACCCTGTATTAAAGTCTCTACCACTCATCATCTTCCTTGTCTCTGTATTCCCATGTGCAGCTTTTTCTGTTTTTCCTATAATGTTTCAGAGGACACCAAAATATGGGTAGCTGTTTCATTTTCCTGGCTTAGTAAAATCAAGAGCAATAAAAAGTATTGGAGGATGAAGAAACAAGCTTGGTGAAAAAGGTACAAATAATTTTGTAGGAAGCTGAAAATGCTTGTATGTCCCATTTAGGGAAAAAACAAAGAATCATTCTGATATGTTTTCCTGATATTCTATTTTGATTAACATTTAGTCAACTTAAGATGACAATCTGGAATGATGTCATCTAACAGAATAGCGATTAAGTGCTTGATAATATCAATAATTTCCAAGTATAGCAACATGATGACATTGCAGTTTGCAGAAAACGGGACAGGCCAACAACTTGGCACACCAGGGCTTAACTCCCAGACCTGTCACTAAGCAATTATTTGACTAATCCAGTCATTTAATCTCTGGGTTTCCAAATTTACTTAACTATAAAATTAGGACTCTTCAGTCATTCTATACATGTATACTAAACAGCAGCTTCCTATAAAATTGTATTAAAATTTAAAATATGAATTCAATGTAAAATACTTTGGTATGACCAAGCAATAACTTAGTCTCTGATACATCTCAAAACCTATATAATAAAATAAATATTTACATCTAAGTAATGAATATGTAATATATAAATTTATGTGAAATTAGAATTGAATGTATGATGATTTCCAGGCCTCATGGGATGGTAATTATTTGGTGAATTTATGTATTTCAGAGTATAGTCTTCTAACTTGTAGGCTCGGGGTCTGATTTTGTCAGCATATAGTGGGTGGCCTCATCCCCAGGCCACAAAAACAACCTCGTGGAGCTTAACTATATAAACTGGAACCTCAACTTACTGATTTATAGTAAGGAATGTGATAAGCATGAGATTCAGAGCACTGGAATGGACATGTCTTCATAGGTCACTTGAGAGATGAAAAGTCAAATTATGCTCAAAATGTTGGTTGTCCAACACAGAATCATAACAAGAGGAACTAATAAAATGATTCAGAAGTTTAATGCTATTGGCACCCTCATGTCCCCTTTCTCTTCCCCCAAGCTGTGGTGGGATGGACACCACTTCAATTGACTTCTTGAACTCCTGTTTCTTCATTTCCACTGTTGACCAACCATCATCGCCCATCCTCTGACACATTCTTGCTACAGAATTATTAAATGCTCACAATGAAATCTCGCCCTGCCCTCTGTGTTCTTGGTTGATTTTGCAAACATCTCTGGTTTACTGTGTACTGGCTTTATATAGTACCCTTTAGGGCCTTTATCAAGTTTATGATCAAGTCCTTGATGGCCACTTTACTCTTAACCCAAGTAACGTCAGTTACCATCAGATTGTTACCGAGTATTTTAAGCATCTAACCCTCTGCCAAAACTGTAGAAGATACACAGGGGATCTCAATCGTGGTCTCTACATACAGAGAGCTTATAAACAGGAGGAAGGGGACACCAACCCATGAGCAATTAAAGCTCAAAGAAGTATAAAACAAAGTCTTAAACCACATAGTATAGAAAGAGAATTAGACAGTGGGTAGAATAAAGTGCTAATTATTAGATACAGAGCTGAAATTGTAAATTGTGGTTACACACAAAAGGCTTTATCATAACACAGCTCTTTTCTTCCCCTCCAGCAAATAATAGAGGTTGTCAAGCCATCAGGTGGCCTTTTCCCCAACCCTCTAGAAGAAGGAATCTCATTTGATATTTATTCAACATTCATAGAACCACCCCCAATATTGCATACAGAAATAAAGGTAAGTTTCTTTTTGTCTCTTAATTCACTCTATCTCAGCATGGGATTCTGGATGGGTGGGAGAGAAAGAAAGCAAATGTTCTTCCATTTTCTCTCACTCTGATTTTTCCCAGCTAAATATAAATATATTTTACCGTTATTTTATATTTATTTATAATAAATGTTTTATCATGGATTCATAGGTGGCCAGCTGAGGGTGGTTCAGCAATTTTAATCTTGTCCTCTCCATCCTCCCCAGTCTCCACTTTCACTTTCCCCAAAAGTAAGCACTGTTAGCACCATGACTTGATCTGTCCTGATGCTCATAAATGATGAAAATGCAGGATGATTTCAAATTACAATTTCCTGGCAGATGGACGTAATTCTTGGTAGAAAAATGCCCAGGAGAAGTTTGAGGCTACATCTACATACCTGGATACTCCAGATATCACCTGAGTATTGTTTACTCTTAATATTCTAGAGACTGGATCAAGAACAAGGCCCGATGGAGTCCCAGCCAGAAGCCAGCCCTTCAGACACGGATGCTTTGGTTGGTTTCACCATTGAAGACGTAAAATCAGTGCTGGCTCAAGTCACAGATGACATTTTAATCAGCATTCAGGTACTCAGCCTTGATAGTGTGCTCCATTACTTCATTACTGGTTAATTAGCCAACCTCATCCTTAACGTCTGTAAACACTACCCACACTCAGCGAGCAGGAGCGATGCTTATGATGGAGGAGTTCAGTTTAACATCTCCACATACTTCTCAGCTGAGTCATCTGAGACTCAATAAGATCACAAAATAAATTTGCCAACAGCACATAGTGTGGTGAGTGTTATCAGTTTAAAAAATCATTCAGCATCGGAACCCAAAAAATAACATGGTAAAGACTTCATGTCTTGTCGCACCGACATCGCTCATGTGAGAGTAATTAGAGGACATTTCTAAAGACAGTCAACACCGAAGATCAAAACAGAATTCTCAGCGAAGTGTTTGCACCAAATCTCTGAAAAGAGGTTTTTAAATCATGGAACTCCCTCTCAGACAGTTTGTTCCTTTTCACGTGTTGTGAAAGCTCCGTAGTCGACACCAGCAGCCGCATGGAAACCGTGATGGCCGCAGCCAGCTCAGCAGCGACTGCCTGACGGATCAGTCAGCCGAGCTTTATGCTTAATGTTTCTTCCCCCAAAAAAACCCAAAAACCATTTCTACCTCTGCACAAAGGCTTGCATCATTGCCCAGGGAAAATGATTAAATAAGTGAATTGCATATTTTGAGACGATTTATAATTTCTTGTGGAAATGACCATGAATCAATAAGACAGTCTACTGCATGTTTAAAATATTAATGCATCTTTGGGAAAGATTTAGTTGATATCTGAGCATGAGCCTGTATATAAAAAGCACACTGTATTAACAACTAATTTAGAAAGAGCAAAAGATTAGCTTGGCATAAGCATACCTTGTTACTGTTTAATCATCAAATGTTAATGCACTATTTACATGAACATTTAATGATTTGATGCCAACAGAATCAGCCAAAGTCCTTGGCTTAATAAAGAGTATTTAGTGTTTACCAGAAATAGTGGAAGAACACGTTTTACACAAAGCTTTATTGTTAACAACCCCATGAATGTAATAACTGGTTACTGTGTGGAAGGGCAGAGTGCAGTTGCATTAAGCTGAGTTCAGAATATATCTCCTTTTTAGATTTGATAACATTTCATCTAAATATAGTTTATGTATAATCATGGCCCTGGGCTCCTTTGCGATCCTGTGGCTCTGAAATTATTGCCGAGGAACTACTAGACAGTAATAGAATTGTTTGCAGGCCCCCAAAATTGAAAACATCTTTACCAAGGCCATATTCCATGTAGTGAGTGTGTTTTTAGCTATTCATTGATTTTTTTTTTTTTTAATATGAAAGTCTGCAGCATTTATAACACTGCTCTGTAACAGGAAGAATATGATTGCGGCATGTGTGCGTGATTGTCCCCTTGGCCTTCAGCTGTCCTTAGCTGGGCTTAGAAGTTCATTAGCTAGTTCATCTCAATAAGACATGGAAAGAACTTGGACCAGAGGTGAGGGACGCAGATCCTTTAGGTGCTACAATCATTTCTGTATTAAGTGGATTCATGGATTAGCCTGGGCCAAATTACTGCCAATTTTTCAATAAAATGACATAATGATGTGGATTCATACAATGTTTCAAGATAGCAAACGCTTCTCTGTATTTTCTTCCAATAATCCTAGTAAACTGTAGGCAAATTAGGCAGGCACTTCTCTGACAAATAAACTGAAAAATGAGAGGCACAGGAAGACTGAGTCATTTGTCCAGAGTGTCCAAGGTCAGAAACTGATGAAAGACTTGGAATGGGAGCTGTAAACTGGGTTCTAGTTTGCATTCCAGAGTTACCCACAAAAACCACATAACCTCTAATATCACGACCAGACTACTTTGGATTTTAATACTCCCGTGGTGTGGCACTTTTTCAGTGTTTGCCCTTGTGTCTTGGTGCGATTCCAAGTTGGGTAATTGCTCCTCTCTGCTCACCTAAATTTCTCCCCTGTTTTGGATGGGTAAGTTATCTTTCAATTCTGAAACCTGCCTCCCAAAGCTCCTGGCTTTTGAAACGGCTGCATCCCTGTTCAAAGGCAGCCACATGCCAGTGGTCAGTGCGTATGAGCCCTCTGAATACACTGGCCTGCCCTGCTGTAGAAACATTTAATGAATTATATTTGTAAGATGCTTAAAATTTTCCAAAAGTTTTTCTTCTCATTGATTTCAAAACCGTACTGTTACTGTATTTTTCAGAGGAAAAGGCAGTAGAGAAACTGTTGTAAGTACCGTTTTTTCAGCGCTTCCTTCGGTGTGGTCACAGGCACATTTCACTCCCTGTAACTCAGAACTCCCTGAGAATGTGGTGTGAATCCTCAAACGTTTTACATTAATCCACTTACTCTCCCATTGACTTTATAGTCTCAGAGATTTATTAAGAATGAAGTTATCTTGGCCCTGAGATGTTAATTAAAATTATACTGACTAGAACAAACATTTTAAGGCTATATAGTTTAGTTATTTTAATTTTAAAGATACATTCAAAATGAAATTATTTTGGCCCTGAATTATATAATAAAAGATTATACCCAATGGAGCAAACTTTAATATATTTAAAGAATTACATTTCAGAGAAATATGAATGCAAACACTAACTTCTGTTAAATGTTGGCTGTTGGCCCTTGTCTAAGCAATAGGGTAAAATAAAGTGAAAACCTTGGGGGAAGTTTGCCATCTTGGGACTGAAGCTATTTTTAGGTCAACTTCAGTTTTCAGATTAGAAAACCTGAGAGTGAGATCTTCTTAACATAGTGATCACTGAGAGGCTATTGAACCCAGGTCAAAGGAAACGGAACATCCCCAGTCCTAGTGGCGTGGGATAGTCGGTCTGTTCAGCAGGGCTCTAAGGAATAACAAGAAGGGACAGTAGGCTAACGCCAACCTGTTCTTGCCCAGACAAGGAGTCTTTTCATCCAGCTCTGCTGGTTGTACCTGAACTGAAGTCCTGATCACCATGGTGGTCTAGAGATCTTAAACATAACCCCTCTGTCAGCACACTGCTCCGCTAGGAGTACACCTTACCTTCACGAATCTTTCCCCCGAAGCCCGCACTTGTGTAGATGAATTCAGTTTCAGTGAAATACCAGAAAGGTCTCCAGGTTAATGTGAAAAAACCCTGGTGAGACAGTTAAACAGAAGCTGGAAGATGATAGTACATCTCCCCTTCGTATTGATGAGCATAGAACACATTATAGGTATGTACTGCTTACTGATGGAGATACATTCTGAGAAAGGTGTCATTAGGCGATATTGTACAAACATCTTAGAATGTACTTAACATCAAACATCACAGAGCCTACTGTACACCAAGGCTATACCCAATGTAGACTATTGCTCTTAGGCTACAAGCATCTACAACATATTACTGTGCAAAATGACATGAGGTAAATGAAGCACAAGGAAGAAAGATACAGTTGAGAAACAGCAATCATGAGTGTGCGAGTCTGCTGCCCCCATAACACAGAACACTGGCTTACAGCAAACCTTTTTATAAGTAGAAAGAGCACACTCTAAAATAATGATAAAAAGTGCAGTATACATAAAGCAGTAATGTAGTTGTTAATTACCATTATCAAATAGTACCTACTGTACATTATTGTATGTGCAGTACTTTTATATATAACTGGTGGCCCAATGTGTCTGTTCACACCAGCATCACTACAGACGAGTGAGGAATGTGCTGTGCTACATCACAATGGCTACGAAGTCACTAGGCCATGGGAATTCTTCAGCTCCATTATAATTTTATGAAGCTACTGTCCTATATATGGTCTGTCTTGGACCAAAACATCTTTATGTGCACAAGTAGGAGGAGTCACTTTAGAGCAGTGCTTCCCAGTCCTTTGGAATTCTGACAAGACTATTGCTTCTAACCATTTTATCCCTAGATTGTCTAATATGTTGCATGACATAAAGAAATAGAAGTAACATATTTTTACAACATTTCATAACATCATATCACTGAAATATAACTTTGGTGAATGTATCACAAAGTTAGGAGTTGGAATTATGAATTTAAAAGCTAGCATGTAATATTAACTTAATACTTCATTTTTAACTGCTTAATATTTCAGGTAAGAACTAAAACCCTAGGTGGTTAAGTGTCTTGCCCAAGGCTACATAGCAAAACTAATCCCTAGGTATCCACACTCCTAGACTGGTGTGCTCCTTTTAGCTCTACCCTAATCATGCCTGAGGGATTAGAGGTTCCTAAAAAATGACAGAGTTCCTTCCCAACCTGGGGGACCATTTTTATCCCTCCTTGCCTCCACCCAACCACCAAGAAAGGAAAAAATAAAAAACCAGAGGACAGAGCTCGATCCAAGGCTTGATAAAACTTGAACAACAACAACAACAAAAAAAACCTGATACTCACTTGAGAATCTAGAATTATTGATATCAATGTGATCTTTTTAGGAATATCAATTCTTACTGTGAAGGTAAAGCAAAATCTCATCATCTAAGGCAACCAAATATACATTTCAAAACTATCTGTTATAGTTACACTCATAAAGAAATCAATAAGAATGAAAAGTTATATCTGGACCAAAACAGTATTTGATTTTTTTAAAATTTTATATAAATTAAAATAATAAGAGATCCTCAAAATACAGTTACCTTGAAAACTTCAAATTATGTTATAGACATGGACATTCTAAACTTCAAATTAGTTATTAACACAGGTATAAACTACTCTTCATAGACTTGCAGATTTTTTTAAATCATCACCAATTTTACCACATCGCCCACCACTGGCTTCTGTACAAGTAATTTTATTATCCATCATGAAAAAGAGAAGACACTTCCAGGGCTACCAATGTTCAGTTAACATGAAGGTATTCCTGGACATGCGCAGGTAGCAAGGTTAGTCCACAGAACACCCCGCCAGAGGCTAAACGCTATCACAGCTGGACCAACGCTGGAGCCTGCCAGCAATCACTTACTTTTTTCTACCAAAACTATACCACAAAGTGGCATAGTTCCAACAGTTATAATACATGATGAATACTTTTGATCGTGAAAATTGTTCTAATCGTGAGATTATTTGTGTTGCTATTTCACAACAGAAGCTTTCTGGGATCCCATTTAGAATGTACTACACAGGAAACAAAAACATTTATTGCAAAGGGGTGGGGAGACCAACAGCATTGCAGTAACTGAGCCCTGAGCAGTTATTCTGATTCCCTGCTTATTGGTAAAGTCCGTCTGAAAATACAGATAAATTAGCCTATCTTCCAACACAAGGCTATGTGAAAAATGGCTGTCCAAATACCACTTCCTGTTCATAGCAGACATGCTATACATTGGGAGTGTGCAGAGAAATATGATAAAGTGTTATCACATCACTACAGGCTGAAACACGGCTATGTCTGCAAAACAGGAAGGTGTGTGAGGGATAATGTCTGTCTTTAGGCACTATAGTGTGTCAAAACCACAAAGACAATGTGCAGCGAAAGATAGCTCCATCATAACCACTTTTTATGATTGTCTTCACAGACTGAGATCAACGAAAAGCTGCAAATACAGGAAGAGGCCTTTAATGCTCGAATAGAAAAATTGAAAAAGGCCTGAGGACTCGGTACAAAGAGAGTGATGCTAAACTTCACAGACACAAACAAAAACCGTTGAAATAATAGACTCTCTAGAGCATCGTTTTGCCTTTATTTACTGGGGAGAGGAAAACCAAGCCCCACTCTTTATTATCCTAAGTAATTAGAAAAGTATTGGCCCCAATTTTGCTATCTCCTGTCCCATAACAGCCTCTGAATTTATTGCACTGAGTGTAACAAGAACATTTTGTATACAAGAGTTTGGAGAATTATATATAAAAATACAATTACTTTTACAATACTCCTTTGACATTTTGACTAATAAATTTTATTCATCTTCAAGGAGAATGAAGCCAACATTTTTAAATAAAGACAAATAATAATAATTTTATCCATATTGACCCACATGGGCTGCCACACAAATGGATACTACTACCAGACTACTGAGGATGAAACTTGTTCAATGATAGCTATTCAAATGCATACACTAGGGGTTTTTTTTCTCTAAATCATTTGGTTTTCTTATTTAAATGTTTCAGTGTAAAACCAATTTTCTGAAATTATATAATGCAGTTTGAAGCACTTTAATTTATTCTGTACTGTATTTGTTATTTCTAATCTTGTTACTCTCCCAGGAGAATACATGACCTATATAAAAAGAAGCAATGTATAAATGGTTATTAAAGACCAACCTATATATAGACTGTAAAAATCTTAAATACAAATCAGACTCACAGAGCTCTTAAAATTAACCATTATATTGCAGTAGGATGATTGAAAACATCTCAAGCCTTTAAATACCTTTATTAAAATATAATTTCAAAATAAAAATATCTATTTACCAATGGATTGTCCTTAGTTGGAGAAATTAAATTAATTACTACTTAGGCCCTTTCCAAACGTCTTAGACTTCGGAGAATTGTAGACTGGAGAGTGTTACCAGGAAGGGGTAATTCCTTCGAAAAGTTTCCAGTTTATACTGGAACCAGACGTGCTTGCATCTGGGCGGCACTTGGTTGAACGTGCTCTATCTGTGCTCTCACCTTCGGTTATAACCTTCCCTTCCCCATCAGTACCAAAGAGATTACCCAAAATGTGTTGATTTGGGGCAGAAACAGATCTGACAGCATTTGGTAATTTTCTAAGTACACTGATCAGCAAGGTAAACAAAGTCCTTAAGACGAAACCACATTCATTGGTCATGGAGTTCCAAGTCTAGAAGGCCTGGAGATGAGCTCGATGTGTTTTTTCCTTGAGCTGTCCTTGCTCAGTGGTTGAGCGTTGACCCGTGCATCAAGAGGTCGCTGGTTTGATTCCCGGTCAGGGCCCAGTTTGTGGGCTTGATCCCCAGTGGGAGGCATGCAGGAGGTGGCTAATTGATGTTCTCCATCATCGATGTTTCTGTCTTTCTTTCCCTCTCCCCCCCGCCCCCCTCACAATATCAATAATGAAGAAAAAACAAGTTAAAAAAAAAAAAGAAAGAAAGAAAAGAACATGTTCATGGCCGTAGCAGACCACTAGGAGGGCTCACATGTCTTCATTCCATCAAGCAGTCTTTTTCTCCTGGGAAAACAGAGGTATAACTGGAGAAACCACAAACTGGGAGTAAAGGAACTTCTAGAAATCATCAAACAGCTTCAAATGCAGTCTTTGGCACACAGTGGGCCTGCATTTCTAACAAAAGGTGCTTATTTTGAGCAAAGGTACCAAGAGTCCAAAACTGATTAAAAAATACAGTAGGAGCCCTGGCCGTTTTGGCTCAGCGGTTAGAGCATCAGCCTGTGGTCCAGAGAGACCCGGGTTCCTTCCGCTAAGGGCACGTACCTCGGTTGCAGTTTGTCCCGGCTCTGGTTGGTCGTGTGGGTGGCAGCCACTTGATGTGTCCCTTTCATATCGATGTTTCTCTCTCTCTCTTCCTCTCTCTCCCTCCCACTCTGTCTGAACAAAAAATGGAAAGATGTCCTCGGGTGAGGATTAAAAAAAAAATACAGTAGGATCCCTAAACACTACACAGAGACAATATTCTGTAAGTGTGCTGAGAGCACGTGAGCATGCCTAAAGCATGCCAAGAGCATGAGCATACCAAGAGCATGCCGAGAGCACCTGAGCATGCCGAGAGAACATGAGCACACCTGAGAGCACACCGAGAGCACGTGAGCACGCCGAGAGCATGCTGAGAGCACGTGAGCACGCAGAGAGCACATCTCTGGAGTAAGACTCCTGGAGTCTGATACAGGCTTCACCAATGGCTAGTGTGTGACTTTGGACAGGCTACTCAACCTCTATTTGCTCGCCTATTAAATGGGCATAATACTTATTTTTGAGGTAGTTACAATAATTCAATAAATACATATTAAAAGAATGTTTATTGTAAGGTTTGGTTTCTATTTACCTCTGAGGATACCCCAAAAGCCACTGTTCATCTCTAACCCCCGCTGCCCAGTTGTTTCATCAGCCTCTGTGACGGAATTCCCTGCCTTGTCGACCTCGCCACTGTCACCTGGTCCTCCCAAGGGAACCGTGTTGCCACCCTGCTGGCCTACACCTTTCATATTGGAGCAGCCCCGGGCTCTCTGTGGGACCCTAACTTTAACACCTAATAAATAAAAAGAGAAAGAGCAATCATAGTAGCAGTAGCTACAAATTTTATTTCATACTCTCTGCTCTTTTAAATTAATTTCAAATTGATAAAGAAATATATGCACTTGCAGTCAGTTATAAAGGAAAAGTGTAGACAGTGAAAAATAACTTTCACCCTAGCCAGGTACCCTCATTTCTCTCCCTCTGAGCAACTACAGCTTCCAGTAAGTTCTTGGAAAAGTATTGTTGTGCACTTAAACAATAGAATGCTTCTATACTGTGGTCTTTTTTTTTTTTTTTTTAATACCATTTGCATTGTTCTTTACATTGCCTTTTTTCTCTATCAGTACATGAGTGACCATCTAGTATTTTATTTTAGCAATTCCACAACTTTTTTCCTTTTTTATTGTTGACAGTATTACAGATGTCCTCCAATCCCCTCCTTCAGCCCGCCTCCGTCCATCCCTGCCCCACCCTTCCTTCATCACACTGTTGTCTGTGTCCATTGGCTAGCAATTCCACAACTTCGTTTTTTCTTTATTGATTTTTAGAGAGGGAGGAAGAAAGAGGGAGAGAGAGATCAAAACACCGATGAGAGAGGACATCGATTGGCCGCCAGCTGCATGCTTCCACGGGGGATTTGGCCCACACCCTGGGCATGTGCCCTGACTGGGAATCAAACCGGCGACCTCTTGGTGCGTGGGTTGATGCACAGCCACTGAGCTACGCTGGCCGGGCGCAATTTCATAACTTTTAAAACTAGTCCTATTGATGAAAATTTTATTGATTCCTGTACTTTGTCATCACAGTGCTGCTTAGCCATCTTTGTGAACATTATTATCCTATACAATGAATTCCTGGAGGAATAAATTTCGAGGTCAAATTTTATTTGCATTTCCAATTTTGATAGATATTGTCAAAGTGCCTTCCAAAGATATTTCACCAATGTGTGAAAAAAACCTTTCTCTACATTGTTACCAATAGCATACATTGCTTGATTTTTTTATCTTTGATATTCTGACAGATAAAAAATAATGTCACACTATTGCTTTAATTTGCTTTTATTGTTTTACTCTATATGGACTGAGCACCTTTCAGATGTTTATAAGTAAATGTTATATATATACTTGGGTTATAAATATATGTGTATTAATTTTCCTAATAACTCTGAGACAGATATTATTAGCCTCATTTTGTTTACAAGTTATGGAGCCTGAGATTATTAACTTGACCCAAGTTATGCAATTAATAATTAATGGATCAGGGCTTCAAACCCAGGTCTGACCTATTTCACAGATGAGGAAACTGGAACACAGAAATTTTAACTAATTTTCCCATGATCACACAGCCAGTAAATGCTAGAACCAGGTTTTGAACTTAGACTTGTATGATTATAAAATTCACGTACTTTTATCTTCATCTAGCTACCTCATAGCCAATATGAAACAAAGTGAAAAGTGACCTTTTTTGTTATTAGTTATAGTAAGGGAACAAACTTGTTTATGTTGATAGCATATTAAATATATAAAATGTGTGCAAGGATGAAATGTATCATTGAGCCTCATTCATTCATTCATTCATTTTTACACTATATACTCATTGAGCAGTGAGCAAATGGACATGATCTTTACCTAATAATCTAGTGGGAGTGACAGTTAATACTGACTGTGAAAAAGACAAGCTTCAGGGAATTATGTGTTGGACAAAGGAACTTGATCAAATCTAGGAGGTTAGGGAAGCAACCCATGAGTTTTGACATTTGGGCTGGGATCTGAGGATCAAGTAGAATTTAACTATACAGAAGAAGATGAAGGAAGACAGATTTTAGGCAGAGAGAAAAGCATGTGCAAAGTCCCTGGGCCACAAATGACGCTGAACAATTGCCCACAGCCAGAGCTCTCGCAGGGTTCCATAGACCACACAGATTTTTATGTTTGACCTAAAAGCAGTGGGAAATTGTTGATAAGTTTTAAGTAGCAAGTGACATCAGATTAGTATTTTTATAAAGGCCATCTCCCTGGTACCAGGACTTCTATCCATAGAAATGTGGAAAAAAATATTCTCATGAAAGGATTCCTACTGTTAATGGTGCTGTAGCTCTACTTCTTAGCAATTTCCAAGAGTGGGAGAAATAAAGAAAAATTTTGACTTTTTTAAAGTCACAGGGTCCACCTACTCTAAGCAGTCTCTGGCACCAAGGCAACCCTCTAAAGAACCAATTAAAAAATAATGCCAACCCATCACTCGGACAAGCAGCAACCTTTCTCTTATCATCCACAGTAAGTTATCTTTCTTCCATTTGCAGGAATAATTTGGGGTAGTTTTTCCTCACACCCATAATAAATTTCAAAGAGACAATATATTCATTATGTTATGGAAAAAGCCACAGCCTGCCACTATTACAGGTATTTGCAGGCACTATTGTGCCTAAATACAACTGTGGAGTCATTTTTCCAAAATCCGAATATAAAGCCCCTATTTCTACCCTCCATTTGATTGGAACCATTCAACCGTCTGGTAGATAATAAGTTTGCATGTTCTTAGATTGCATTTCATTATGCTTCAGTTGTCCTAGAGAATAAACGTGGTCCCTTTCCCAACAATTGTGGAGGAGAAGTACTTCTGACATCTCAAGTTTCAGAGTCTAGAGAAGATGTCCCTCTTTTGGACATCAAAGTCTTTCTTTTTTTTTCTGGACAATGATTTGTTAAATAAGAGAAGTCAGGACCCCTTTGTGGCAGCCAAGATACCTATTAATTTAAGTTTCTTAAGCAAAAATAATCTAGATCCAAAGAATACCATCTTGTTGGAAATCAAATTACAAAACAGAGAAAGAATACTAAAAATCTCCTTGCTTTTAGAATTCCACCCCTCTACATAGAAATACCAGCAGTGGGGATTGGTTTCACAGTTTTTGTCAGAGCTGCTGAAGAGTTTTGTATTATTTTATTTTATTTTTGGCTTCAGACAGTGTTCAGTGCAGATGTTTCCAATGGTCATTTTGGTGTTTGT